GCACTGCCGAAGACGTCGCTGCTGTTGAGGTTGCAGCGACCAGTCCGCTCCGCGACTTGATCATGGACGCGTACAAGGAGGACGCGTCCTGCTTGGAGCTGATCCAGTTCCTGCGAGACCCTGGTGCCGTGGCGAAGCGCAAGCTGTCTCCACGCAGCCGCTCCCGCGTCGACCGCTACTCGCTGGACGGCGAGTTGCTCACGTACCGCGTCGACCGTGAAGACCCCCCGCGCATCGTCGTTCCTCTGGACGACGATCTCCGAGCTCGGCTGATCCACGAGTTCCACGACACGCCGAGCGGTGGCCACCTCGGACTCGAGAAGACGTTCGCGTCGCTGTCCAGAGACTTCTACTGGCCGCATATGTACAAGTGGGTCCGGAAATGGGTACGCTCCTGCGAAGCGTGCCAACGCGTGAAGCCGAATCCGTCCAAGCAGGCTCCGCTACGACATCTCCCAGTTGCCACAGACGCATGGGCGTCTGTCAGCATGGACTTCGTCTTCGGGCTGCCCCGAGACACTCAAGGGCGCACTGGCGTGCTGGGGACGCGGCTGTGCATGTCCACCGCGTCGCATCCGGAGACGGACGGCCAAACTGAGCGCGCCAACCGTGTTGTTGAAGACATACTACGCAGCTTCGCTACGTCGTTCAAGTCGTGGAGCACCTTCCTGTCCCTGGTCGAATTCGCCCTCAACAACGCTGTCCACGCATCGACCGGGCTGTCCCCGTTCTTCGTCAACTTCGGTCGCCATCCTCGCGTTCCAGCGCTCCTTGGTGTGGAGCGCCCTGAGACTCCGGCTGGTCGCGCTGCTGAAGACGCGGGCGATCCCGCGTCACTCGTTCCGGATGAAGACGCTGCTGTAGACCCCGACCCAGGCCAAGCTGAGCGTCGTGGCCCCGTACCCGACGCTGTCTCCGCGTTGTTACATGGCGTCACCACTCGTCGAGGCTCTAACGCTCCAGCAGTCGGGATGCGCACACGTGCCGCCACGCGGGCGGCACACGAGAGACCACGCGCCAACCCCGAACGAGCTTCGCGCACACGTGCCGCTAGGAGGGCGGCACCTTCGGACATCGCAGCTTGGACTTCGCGCACGCTGATTGACCCGATGCCACGTCGAGCCGTCGAGTATCAGGACGCGCAAGAGGCGGCGACACCTGCCGCGCCGGTTCCTGCCAACTTCGACCCGCTCCCAGCGCCGCAGCCCCAATACACTGCGGCTGTCCGCGACTTCCTGCAGAAACGTGAGTCGGTTGTGCGTTATGTACGCGACACCATCGCGGCGGCGGTGGACCGGCAAAAGGAATATGCCGATCGACGAGGGCGACGACACCTGGAGACGTTCGCCGTGGGCGATCGGGTACTGCTCTCTACGACGGGCATGTCGCCAAGTTTGGTGACGAACTTGGGCGCGAACAAGCTCGCGCCCCGATTTATTGGACATTTTAAAGTGACGAAGGTACTCGGCGACGCCTACACGCTGCAGCTCCCTACGGCACTCCGGCTGCACCCTACGTTCTATGTTGGCCAACTGCGACGATACCATCCCGCCGCCATTCCCGGTGGTGCCGATGACCATGCCCAAGTCGGTCAAGACGCTGCGCCATCGCAGCGTCAGCCCGAGGTTCGCGCATCTGCATTCCAGCGCGACGGTCCTGCTCCCCTAGTGGACGCTGCTGGGAACCAGCGTCACCTTGTCGAAGCCATTCTCAATCACGACGACCACCGAGATGCACCGCAGCGCGCACGCATGGATCGCGGCACTCGTCGCCGCGATGGAGAGATACCTTCGCACCGCCGGTATCTGGTTCGATGGCTTGGCCCGATGGGTGACAGCTGGGAGCCACGCGAGGTTCTACGCGCAGATGTCCCCGGCTGCGTGGCGGCGTACGAGACGTCGCTTGCAGAGGGCGCGGCGGCGAGCCGTGTCTAACTCAACGAGAGCCTCGCAAGAGCGGACAGCCCAGTGGCGATGCTCGACTTCAGACGACGGACGACCTTTGGTGTTCCAGGATTCGCGGCGACCTGACCCACGGTGGAGTCACGGTGCGTACCACCGCGACGGACTCGCTTCATGCCACGCCAGCGCCGGACCAGCTGCACCAAGATCGCTCCGTTGAAGCCCACGCTGCTGCGGTCGCGCAGCAGCCGGCCCTTGATGACGTCCGAGACACTGCTGCGCTGCTTCACTCACTTCGCGCGCGCTGTCGGCCCGCGCCTGCCAAGTAGCGTCACGTCCGCCTCGCGAAGCTCTGCAGTTCCTTTCTAGAGTTTAGATATGTGTATGTTCCAATCTTGAGTAGGGGGTGGTGTGACAGGCCACTGTCACACAGGCGCCACCGCGTGTGCGCGGTGGCCAATCAGAGCCCACTATAGGTTTAATGGCTGGGACGGTCTCGAGTGCCGAGACCGTCTCGGCACTTAATACCAGAATTCAATTTGCCTACTACTTCCTCTGCTTGTGTAAGCACGTAACGGGCTGCAGTTAGCCCGTTACAGGCTCCGCCGCCTACGGTGCAAATACCTGCACTTACTATCGACATAACTAACTCTAGTTCATTCTCAATGACCGGCCAGTGGCCCAGGGAGTAACCCTTGGTGTATCGCACACCAAAAGGGTAACCAAAAGGGTAACCTCCGTGTAACCCCGTTACAAATTCAGCGAAACATTGGCCATCACAGTAGACTTGGTGTTAAGTTCGAGGGTGCTCAAAAACACTAGATGGCTAAGTACGGAATGAATCGGGTATACTGTAGTTGCCACCTGAACCTTTCAACAAAAAGAACAATACATTAGAGGGCAATAATTGCTGTATGGATTGTCCTGTGAACGGTAAGTATTGTAGTAATAGGTGTGTTCATGAAGGGTGCTGGCGGATGCAAGTGGTAAAATTCGCCACGATTTCACCTTCTAGTGACATACATAACAGAGGGGTCTAGTTATGCAGTATTATCGATCGTGTTTTGTAAGCCTGGCAAAACAATACCACAGATCAGCAGTTTTACACATTACGATATGTAAAACTTTCGCAACGCCAAGTTTACAGAGGCCATGAACCTAGAGCAAATCGGTCAACATTAAATGATTTAATCTTACCAAAAACCTGGAACAAATAGGATACACTTGTCCTCACTATCACATAGCTACGCTCTACGAGTGGTTCCACAAACCATAAAGGCTCGATATGTTCCACGTTCGTATAAATATCGGATTCGACACATTGTAGCCGATTGTTTTTGTACTTGCAGCTAGTTTTTTTATGTCGAGTGTTACTGTGAAGTTTGGGCTTGCCCTAACTAAAGCTGTTTTTAGTCGACGTAGAGTCGTTCAGCCGAGAACGGATCCCACTTGACCTGCACCCGATGTTTGTGTGCTTGAGAAGCCTGGTGCTCGAAGCACAGCATGCAGGAAGTACTTGGAGCATGCATGTACGACCTCTCTATTGAACGCGTGCCAGACGCGTTTCGGCCCCCGCCGGGGGCCTCGTCAGTGGCTTTACCAATCGAGAAGTGAGCTCTCTCTCTCTCCGTGTCCTCCTGGGCGGTCGTCCCTACGAAGCTTCTAGAATCTCCTAAAGATCTGTCGTGGGTACGCCTCTGGTGTCGTAACCGTGTACCCCCACCATGGGGTTACACCTACGTGCCTGCAGCACTTCCAACACAGCACCCCCAGTCAGTCAGGTAAACGATCATAATATAAAGAAGCAAAAACGACACTTGGCTATTTTTGTAAGTCGTTCGCTTGCGGTACTGCACGGAGTTAGTTATTAAGGCTATGAATAACTCTAACGGCGTCAGTCATAGCCCTTATAATGGACTTTAGATTCGCTTATGTTAAGTCTTACAACCCTTCTTTCTCGGCGCTAACTCAACGAAAAGCACGTACTCTGAAAGCGATGCCTTCCGGTAGCCAATCCTGAAGGTCTTTGGGACTGGCTCCTCTGTAAATCCTTTTCTGTGGCCACGCTTGGCTGTGGTTCCTGAGGATGCATGTTACCACCAGTGTGGTAAGTTCGCTTGAGCGAACTTAATGTGAACTGTTTACAGTACTTCTAATTTGCCAGAGATTCTAGATAATCCAGTACATATTGTGTGTTCTGTTCCAAATTTCCATGGGCGGTTTGTTGAACCGCCCGAGCCAAATCTCCGGCCAATCTCCGGGGCCACTAGGATTGGTTATGGGCACCCGTTTAAGTATGAATTGGCCTTGACATGCGGCCCGCCCGATGCGGGCACTTGGACCATATGGTTTGGGCCCGGAGAATGGGCAAATGACTTGAGTTTTGTATTTGGCGATTTGAGCGGGGTCTCCAAACCGCCGCGATTTGACAGGAATTCACAATATGTACTGGATTATGGAAATTGCTCGCAAACGGGCTTTACCCACCAGTGCCATACTGTACAGGCTAGAGCGTGAGAACGAGACGCCTGACATATCCGGATTTAAAAGGGAATCATATGTAGCAGACACCACTTTATGTATTTTACATTGACTTTAATACCTGATCTCATCGGTAACAACGGGTATTAGTTGTTACCCGTCTCGTTCTCACGCTCTAGTCTGTACTGTACTGCATTGCCAGTGTTGGCTTGGAGTGCTTAGATCTTCCTTCGACTTAAATTGCCTTGTGCACCAGTTCGCTTTCAGAATATCCGGTTCCAAGCGAAGCGCTTCCACTCCTCGATCACACCTTCCAAAACCGCTTCGCCCCTCGCAGAGCTATATGCACGCAACAGCAATTACAATACATACCTCAAGCCCCCAGCTGATCCACATACATAAGTATTCTGGCTGGAGCACGAGCACTGCTCTATTGCTATCTGCAGCGTATCCACATTGGATCTCCACTCATGTTGTTGCGGTTGAAGTTTGCAACCACCTACATGGCTACATATGATGTACACCACACCACGTCGGACTTAATCGAAGCACCGCGCCTGCTTCGTGGCAACATTCAGACAACCGGACGCGCTTCAAGCAGTAGTTGTAGCGGCAACGATGGCGGCGGGCGGCTCGTCGTGGCTGTCGCGGCTCAAGGGGCTGGACGCGTACCCGAAGACGATCGAGGAGTTCAAGGTGCGCACGCTGCAGGGCGGGCTCTTCTCGCTGCTGGCCTTCGCGTGCATCTCGCTGCTGCTCGTCTCGGAGCTGAGCTTCTACCTGGCCACGGACACAGTGGACAAGATGACGGTGGACGGCGGGCGCAACACGATGGTGGCCATCAACTTCGACGTCGAGTTCCCGCGCATGGCCTGCTCCGTCGTGGCGCTCGAGTCCGCCGACATGGCCGGCAACGTGCAGCACGACATCGAGCACAACATCCGCAAGATCCCGCTGGACCACACGGGCCAGGCGCTGGCCGAGGGCATGCACGACGTCATCGGCGGCGCGCTCACCAACAACACGGAGCTGCACGGGGAGACGGACAAGCCCGCGTGCGGCAGCTGCTACTCGGCCGGCGAGCCCGGCGAGTGCTGCGACACGTGCGAGAGCGTCAAGGCCGCGTACGCGCGCAAGAGCTGGATGATGCCGAGTCTCCACACGATCGCGCAGTGCCAGGAGGTGGAGATCGAGAAGGTGCTGCGCGGAGAGGTGAACGAGGGGTGCCGCATCCAGGGGTCGCTTGTCGTGTCCAAGGTGCGACGGCTGCTGCTGCACCATTGGCTCGGCCGGCTTGGCTTGGCTGTGATAAGGGGGGATGCCACTGACGCATTGTGTCTGTCTATCTGTGCAGGTTGCGGGCAAGTTGTACTTCGCTCCGTCCAAGTTCTTCCGCTCGGGCTACTTGTCGTCGAAGGACCTGGTGGACGCCACCTTCAAGGTCTTCGACACGTCGCACACCATCCGCTCGCTGTCGTTCGGCGAGGCGTACCCGGTATGTTGGTCGTTGTTGTGGTCGCCTGACGTGTTGGGAGTCTAGACTGTTGCTTACTTCAGCCAATTTGCTATGTTTGTTTCCCTTACTCACAGGACATGAAGAACCCGCTGGACAACCGAAAAAAGGAGCTGCCTGATGAGAAGACTCGTGGCTCGTTCCAGTACTTCCTCAAGGTAGGCCGACCTGCATTGCATGGAGGCTTATCAGTCTGGTGAAGTATCGCACTCTAACGACTTGACCTTCGTATGACTAGGTGGTGCCGACGGAGTACACGTTCCTCTCGGCTAGCCGTATCATCACGAACCAGTTTTCTGCCACCGAGCACTTCCGTCAGCTCACGCCTGTGAGCGACAAGGGCCTACCAAGTACGTTATTCTCCATGTTCGAGTGTGAATTTGAGCTGGAACTAACTATCTTATACCCCCGTGCATCTACAGTGGTCACGTTCAGCTACACCTTTTCGCCCATCATGTTCCGCATTGAACAGTATCGTGTGGGTTTCCTCCAGTTCCTGACGAGCGTCTGCGCTATTGTCGGCGGCGTGTTCACGGTGCGTACTTGCGATTACTTCACTACTCGTTAACGCTTGCAATATGCTAACCATACTTGTGATCGCTGCAGATTCTTGGCATCATGGACTCGCTTGCGTTCGGCCTGCTGAATAAGACGAGCAGCTCCACACTCTTGTAAGAAGTCTCCTACCAATCTCAATGTGCACATGAGCTCTCTCTCTTTTTCTTGCCTTCCTTATTATAGATTGCCGTTCACGGCCATAATGTGAGTGTAAATCGGTAGCCCACAAGAGTTGCGATGCAGTCGCCATCACTTCCGCCAGAGCTATGGAATCTATCTGCCGTCATCCTGCTGTGCGGACTTATGGGGTGGATGATACGCCTTGCTCGCCTGCTGCTTATCTACCTAGAAGCCCGCTTCGCTATCCAGCAGAACGCGGTAAGTTTGGACTGGTGCTTCGAACAAGGCTTTTGTCCCAGTGTCGCTCACAAGCTAGAATATTGTTTGAGCCAGGTTATCCACTTGGAGAAACTCGGACCAAGGTATCAACGTTCCTCCCGGATTTCACCGCTGGGGGCTGAAGAAAACTAACTTGTTTGTGGGGTCCGACTTAGCTTGCACGTACTTCGGCATGCATCCATGTGGCACTTCCACCAATTGTTGCGCACACAGCTTCAGGCCACTTCAACACCAATGAAACGTGTTCGCGTTCCGTTCGAGATCATCGCATCCTCAGTAAAGCTCGTTGAGCCATCTAGCGAACAGCAACTGCCGATGAATCTGTCTATCGAGGTCAAGTCGGAGCGAAAATTCGCGGTACAAGTGTTTTGGGACGTCAAGGCGGCCGCGCTAGAAGGAGGCTGCCATAGCCCCACGAACGCATCCACGGATTGGCCGCTGAAGCAGCGATTCCATGCCGTTCAGCCGACAAGAGCAGCCCGAACGGCGATCCACGCCATGAGAGCATTGCCAGGAAAGTTTTACGACAGGGACAACATGAACACACCCCACCGGTTACTGGATGACGAGAGTGGCAAGGATGTTGGTGGTGAGGGAGCAACCAGTAGCCCGAAAGCGGGGCGACTGGGGCCGTGCCTAACTCGTCTTTTCGCAAGGAAAGACTCTTTTCAAGCCCGTTGTGCGATGGAGAGGTGCGTGACGAGATGTTTTGCATCGCTGAGGTCGCATTTCAATCTCTAAATCATTGTGTGTTGTAGGAAACAAAGTGGAGGTGCCAATGAATTTGTGGCGCCAATACCGAGCGAGGTGCTTGCCATTAGCCCCCCAATTGCAGCATCGGTCGAGTCTTCCGTCGTAGCAACAGACTGTGAAGAGGAGAAGCCGCCCCATCCTGTCACGCGTAGCGTCGAGGATCGACGATACGCCTGCGTGGTCGCCATCGGGTCGTCCGCCTTCTTCGACGGCGAAGTACCAGCGCCCAAGTCTCCCAGCTTCCGTCTGAAAAGGCGCTTATCGTCGGGTCTCGACGAGGACGCAGCAGCAGAGGACGAGGTTCTGTGCCAGTGCGTGGCCATCGACTTCCTTCCGACGCCAGCCAGGCCGAGTCGCGTCCCGGTGATCGTCAAGAAGCTCAACTTCACGGCCTCCAACGTCTTTAGCTCTCAGGTGCGGTCAAGGTCACAAAACTCTCTACACAACCCACTCACTCTCTTTGCGTTCAAAATGCTAGGAAATCTTCGGCCGCGAGAGCGGCAGCAGCGGCGGCGAGTGCGTCATCTGCCTGGAGCGACCGCTGGGCGCCGTGCTGCTGCCGTGCCGCCACTTCTGCGTGTGCCGCGAGTGCCTCGAGGAGATCGACCAGTGCCCGATCTGCCGCGCCAAGTTCTCCACCTACGCCAGCTACCGGGAGGGGGAGGACGCCCCACCGTCGCCCTCATCCTCGCAGCTCTCGCTCCAAGTCTACGTCTAATGGAGCAGTAGAGCACTAAGTAGAGCGAGCACTTAGTCGAAGGTCAATTGACGCAGTTGAAGCATTTGATTGCTTGCGCCTCGTCACATATTTGTTTAGGAGGAAGCGACTAAGACTGGGTATAGTCCCACTTAGGTACGCGCTGGAGAAGCAGCAGCCAAATGGGGGCGTACGAGGCGCTGGGCCTGGCGCAGGCCGCGCAGGTGTATCTGCTCGTGGGGCTGCTGGGCGCGGCCGTGTACCTGCTGCTGGTGCTGTCCTTCCTGCTCGTGCCCAACATCCGCGCGCAGCACCCGGCGGCCAACCTCGTGGTGTGGCACGCGGGCTGCGGCCTCGTCTCGAGCGCCGGTTTCGTCTTCGCCTTCGCGCTGCAGCGGGACGACGAGGACGGGGAGGCGGACGCGGCGCTGGTGCAGCGGCAGTGCGCGCTGCTGGCGCCCTTCAACCAGTTCTTCCTGCTGGCGGGCGCGCTCTGGTACCTCATGCTGGCGCTCGACCTGCTCGTGGCGCTCGTGAACCCCTGGATGGGCTACAGCTGCAAGTCCTGGGCCTACCACACCATGTACGAGCGGCCACTGGCATTTGACTCGTAGCATTCCTATAGAGAGGCGTTGACTGACCGACTGACGGACTGACTGACTGACTGCCGGCAGCGTGTGGAGCGTGAGCGGCGTGTCGGCGCTGCTGCTGCACCAGCTGCAGCTCTTCGGGCTCTCGCCGCTCAACGTGTGCTGGGTGCGGCGCACGCGCGACCCGGCGCAGGTCAACACGGCCAACTGGGTCTTCCTCTTCGGGGCCGTGGGCGGCATCTGCCTATTGTCGCTGGCCGTGCTGCTCTTCGCGAGCTTCCGCTTCGTGCGGCGCCAGCTGGACGTCACGTATCGCGCCAAGCGCCGCAACCTCGTGCAGTACTACCGCTACCTGCTCATCTATGCGGGCCACTGGGCGGCCTGCGGGGCGCTCTACTACGCGGCGTACCGCCAGCAGTTCGACGGCAAGATGGCCAAGCACTTTGAGCTCGCGATCGCGCTCGTGTTCGGGTCGTACCCCGTGCTGCTGCTTTTCGTCTGGGTGCTCAACACGGAGCTGTACCAGAACTTCTCGAGCGAGAACAATCTGTCCAAGGCGGAGCGAGGCGCGGGCGACTCGAAGAGCACAGAGCACTTTAGTGCGGCGCTGAGGAAGGATCTGATGCGCTACACGACCGCAGGGATTCGCTGCAGCATCACTGAGTCCCCCGCCGACAGTCTGCGCTCGCCGCTGCTCAGTCTGGCCCGCGATCGCTTTGGCTCGCTGGATCGCACGGCCGCGCTGTCGTTTCTGCAGATGGAGGAGGGCGGATCGGCCGGTCTGTACCACGAGAAGAAGCGACTAGCGACGACGGTGTACAACGGCGAGTACCGGTACTACGAGAAGCTGGGCTTTACCGACTACGCCCCGAAAGTGTTCCAGAACATCCGCGAGATTTGTGGGATCGACAACGAAATGTACGAGCAGTCGTTCGCGGATACGCTCCTGGAGCGGGCGTCGGAGGGCAAGTCTGGAATGCTCTTCTACTTCACCAGCGACCGGAAGTACCTGGTCAAGACTATGACCAAGAAAGAGCATTCGTTCCTGCTGGAGGTGCTCCCGCTGTTCCACCAGTACATTCTAAAGCAGCCGAACTCGCTCCTGTGCCGCTTTCTCGGCTGTCACTCCATGCAGCTTCCCGTTGGCTGGAACAAGATGTTTTTCGTCGTGATGGAGAACATTTTCCCGGACGGACCAGTCGACGAACGCTACGACCTGAAGGGCATATTCCACCAGTCCAACTTCAGGTACCAAGAAGGGATCGCGACGCCCGTGTCAAGCGAGTGGAGTCGAAGTGCGAGGGAAGAAGAAGGTGTGGTGCACATTCTCGATGAAGATGAAGCAGCGTCCAGCGAGAGCCAAAGTGTGGACAGTGAGATGGGCCACGTAACAGAGAAACAACCACTGTTACGTCGTGGAAGCTCACGCCCATCGCTTCGTTACGACAATGACTTCGTGACTCGCCGTGCCTCGCTTCGCGTCAACCCCACGACCCGTGCGAATTTGCTCGCCCAAGTGACAAGTGACTGCGGATTCCTTCAGGAGCTGGGGATCATGGATTACAGTTGCCTGCTTGGCATCCGACATTACAACCAGCGCATTGAACCGGAGGTGATGGACAACCTGGCTCACAATGCCGTCGTGTCGGCTGACCAGTCCACTGTCTACTATCTCGGCTTTGTGGACATTTTGCAGCACTACAACATCGGGTGGAAAATGCAGCACTGCTTGTTGGCTGCTGTGGTGGACAAGCGCCAGATCACGGCGCTGCCTCCAGCTGAGTACGCGCTGCGATTTTTGAACTTTATTCACGAATATTTACTGCGAGACCCCGAGGGATCAAACGTTCGCTCATACGGGAGCATCGGCTACTCGCCCTCCAGCTTCATCCGCTAGGCAAAAGCTGCAAATTCGGGGAGCAACTAAAAATATGAGGCGAGGAGCAGCATCGCATTGCGAAGAGAACTAAGAAGCGCATCGCATTGCGAGGAGAACCAAGAAGTATATAGGTAGACAGACACAGACAGGTTGGATCAATCAACAACCCGGCTGATGCAGAGCAGCGGCTTGGACGTGGAGTTGCAGCGCACGCTCGACGAGCTCTGCGCGGATCTCTTTGCTACCCGCGCGCTAGACGATTGCAACGCCATATTGCAGTCACTGGCGCTGCTTGCCGATACCTTTCCACAGGCGCAGACGCTTCTCGGCAGGTTGCTCTCCCACAGCGACGGCAGCCATCCCCGATACGTGACCACTTCCAAGCTGTCGTCCTTGTCGACAGCCTTCCTCTACAAGAAGGAGACAGCTCGCAGCACGGCGGCTTTGATCGCTGCGTTAGCACACAACAACGTTCGGAACCAGCGACGAATTGTTCAAAGCACCACCGGTGTCAAGCTCGATATCGACCCCTCCCGGTATGGCCTTCACACCCCTGCACCAAGAAGTACCCTGTATGCGCTCACAGTCCCTTCGATTGCCACGACCACGTACCGGAGGTGGCGAAAGCGCCAGCGCGAGTTGCAAATCTGTCGCTTGCCCACTGGAGTGCCCCCTGCGCACGACGGCGTCCCCATGCCTTGCTACTGTGACGATTGCCTGGGCGCCGACCAATTTCTGTCGACGTGGCAGCAGCATTTCCACGACTTGTCGCGATGGTCTCGAGACCCTGACAGCGCGCCTTCTTCTACTACCACTGCCAGCAGCTCACTTCCGTCCCTGTCCACAAGAGACTTCTTAGGCGTGTTCCTTGCAGACCACCAGGTTTGCGTGTGCACTATTGGAGAGGCACTTGGCAACCAGAAGAAGGGCGACGGGTCTTTTACTGACAAAGCAAGCAGACAGCCCAGCTTGCTGTATTACTTCGTGCCCTCAGATGAAGCTAGCGCTGCTACACCGAGGACGCCAGTGCAATTCGACCCTCTTCACCACGTGAGTGCCATCGTAATAGCAGCCGAAATTGATGTCGATGCTGTGCGAGGTGCGCGACTGCAACGCGCCGCTACTGCTAGTACGAATCAAGATGAGAGTCCGTCGACGAATCCAGCGGAATCCATCGGACTCGCAGCTGAGCAAGTAATCCTGTTCGCTGGCACAGCTGAGATCAAATCGTGTGCAGGAGCTCGGATACACGAGCCCTCTGACAGTGGTAATGGGCCCCCAGTTCGTCCTGTGGATGACACCGATGGCTTCAGTGCGGATATCGGCAGGCTTGACGAGCAATACGACCAACTCCCGAATGACGTAGACACCAAAGACAGCGATCTCACGGAGACTGTGCAGCAGTTGCTTCTCGATATGCTTTCGTTTTGCGACGGCAGCGACCAGATGCCGCCAGCCGCCGTCCGACGCAGCTTTTGCTGTCAAGATGGGCCCCCATTTCGTGAGCCAAAGTGCATTCAAGTGATGAACACCAGGATTGTCATGACTGCCAAGTTGCCCGACCAAGTCCTGCAGATTGACTGCACGGTAGAAGACGGCACGGTATACAGTTTACCCAGTTACTTCTCCACGTGTATCGCGCAGCAAGAGCTCGTGAGTTGGGAGAACGGAAGACTAGGCCTGCTCTACCTATCTGATGAGGCACTTGAGAGCGTACTTGGGCGGTGTCAAATCTGCACATGCGCTGGTAATAACGCTCATAGAGAAAGTGACGCCATATACCTACGGCCAAGCAACGAAGAAGAAAAGTGGCAAGTGTACGCTACAGACACCAGCGACGACACTAGCCAATCTGCAGCTCAAGACAATACCACAAAGGGTTCTGCCAGCATTCGTGTTCCTCTTTCGGGGCTTTCCTCCGAGGCAAAACAAGACCTCGAGAGGCTGCACATTCTCGTGTCAGAGAATAAGTACCTAAGACTAGGCAGGGAGGAACTCACGACTATGATGGAGATGCTCGCCAGGGTGGTTGCAGACTGCAACGAGCGAATCTCTTACCTGGCGCAAGCGAGAGATAAGGAGCTGGTTCGCTCTGCCCCAGAAGCTCATCGCTCAGCTGCCATCTCCCGGTGTCGCCACTGCCGCGATCTGCTTATTCAGCTGGGCAAAAAGATCGCATTGCACGTAAAGGGGCTTGATGTATCGGCCTCAATGCCGCAAGGGAAGCTGTCGCGCGTAGCAAAGATTGTGCGCTCGTCCATTCATGACGTACTCGCCCAGAGTGAGACCTTCGATCCCTGGGAGACACCCGACGCCCGCGTCGAGAAATTGAACTTGGACCGCCGCCTCTGGGCCAGTGGGTTCCCCGATGCCGCCTATTACCAAGACAACGACTTGCGGCAGCGCGAAAACAGGAAGACACAGCAGCATTTAAGTCGAAAGCTGCAGCTTCAACAGAAGAAGAAAAAGTTAAAAGACCAAACCAGAAGCAAACAACACAGACAATATCAATGATACAACAGCAGCTACCCATACCATGGTTCTTAAGTAGGTAAGGGTCACATTTCCTTCTTCGTCCACTCGCCAAACATGTGCTGATAGTCCTCCAGCTGCCGCTGGACAGGGTCACCACCACACAAGTTCGATCCTTCAGCCAGAGAACACGGGGGCACCATGCAGCTGTACTTGGCAGCATAATGGCCTCCTACCTTGAGCTGGTTGTTCTCTTCCAAGAGGCGGAGATACGCCTCCGCTTGGCTGTCGGTTTGGCGCTTCAGCGCTCTATTCACAGGCAGAAGACGACAGAGGTTAGTGCCCCCCTCGCGCTCTCCCTCTCTATCGCAGTCTAACTCAAGAGCTGTGAAGTGAAGGCACCCACTCTAGCTCTGTGTCTCGCTGCTGGGCCTCCCCCACCGCCCCGCGCAGACAGAGCTCCAGTCCCCGGGCGTAGGCGTCTGCCGCCTTCTTGTACGAGGCCATGCCATACAGCGCCTTGCCCTTCCTCGAGTACGTCTTGGCCCAGTCCGGGTCCAGTGCGATGGCGGCGTCCGCGTCTGCTTTGGCCTGTTGGAACTGCCCCAGACCGCAGTAAGCGGCCGACCGGTTGCTGTGCAGCGTGGCCGACGGACGCCGCTCGATGCCCAGCGAGTACTCGCGAACGGCCGCCTCGTAGTCTTTCAGCCTGAAGAACTCGTTGCCGCGGTTCTTGTGCCACGAATCGTCCTCCAGCGACGGCGCGCTGCGGCCCTGCGCCGTCGACGCGGACAGCTTCGCACTCACGGGCGGAGCTGCAGACGACGACGACCCAAAGAGCCACTCCATAATTGAAGCTTAGTGCGCGCGGAAAAGGTAGGCGAAAAGTCTTTTTTGGCAATAATTTTATCAAAGCAAACGCAGCGGATTTGAGCTTTTCTACCAGCAACAAGCAGGTCATAGCGGTTCGTTTGCGGTATAAATCACACTTCAAAATCTGCTTTGGCAGGGCGAAAAATACGCGAAAATGATAGACGAATTGTCGATTTTGCATGTTTAAAGATGGATTAGAACCTGTAGTTCGTTGTCCTGTTTGTATAAACCTAGATAGCCACTCTGAGAAAGTTTCAAGCGTATACGAAAAAAATTGAGAGAGCAACACACTTGGGTCACTCATATAGAAGTTGGCTCAAAAATGGAGTGCCATGATCTTCAAGCCCCTCTATCTGGAACCAGCCTAGCGATAGCAGTAAGACAAGCAATGATAGTGATTCGGTATGATACAATAAAGCATTTGTGCGGATAACAACATTCCCTTATTCGAATTGAGCTCGGATTCCGCCGAGACAACTCGATGTGTCTACCAGATACCATTATATCTTGAGTTTAGTAATACTAGCGGAGCATCACGGTCGCTGCGCTCATGTTGCTTTAGGGGTCGACCCCCAAAACTATGCTGACCACAGAGTTTTGGACGACGTCCCCACTTGTGGAATTTGAGTACAAAGCCGCTTGCAAATTCTAGCGCTTTATTTCCCCTTTCACGCTCCCCGATTTGCTGGCTATTTTGCAAGCAACATAAGTACCATTCATACGTTGTTATTAACGGTAGACTGATACACCTGGCCTGTGCTTCGAATGCCAGAACACTTGTATTTTACATACTTCGGTAAGTGTAATAGCAGAATGTGCACACTGGCACAACAAAGAAAAAAACTGTTTTCCATTCTCTCACCGGCTACTTTCCATTTAGTGGGGATGCATTGCATTCTCGACAGCTACATTGCATTTCTGATGGATTTATTTCATTCTGTACATTCGAAATGGCTGTTACATGCATTGCATATATTTTTCGGTTCAGGGCTTGTAGGGTTAACTGTTCGGTGCCGTACCGAAACAATTAGAAGGGCAGCATCGAAGCAAGTTTCTGGAACTTTAACCTAGCGTCCTTAACAGCATTTCTAGCCTTTAAAGGTTCGGACAAGGTTCGCGGCAGGTTTAAGTACAGAAGTCGCTATCATATATATTTATCTAGATGATTTAAGTACAGAAGCCGCTATCACATATTTTGCACCTAGGTGTGAAGCTTACCTTGCGAGGTTTGTCTGGCATGGCACAAAGCAATTTGCCATGCCACGCGAACCTCGACGCCGCTTCTACAACGATGATGAAGACAGCGAGGCGCACATGGACGCTCTCGGGCAATGCCTAAAAGGCCGAGAGCGCGCCAGAGACCGGCTGATCGCTCGTCTCCGGCGCCTCGACGAAGAAATCGAGGCGATGGAGCAATCCATGCACCGGCTCGCTCGCTACGGCATTGAGCGCGATCCAGCCCCAACGCCTCCGCCACAACAACAGTCGCCTGATCGGCGCTCTCCACGAACTCCTGAGTTTGCCGAGACCTACGGAGACCGTGACGACGACCTGTTCGATTCCGACTAAGTCCCCTGCCAAATCGGATTGTCTGAAATTTTACGGGAGTCGTAACGCGTCGTCGTTCCCGAGCAACTCGCCGGCGTCAACGCAGTGAAGAGACCAACACGACCGCAGCTAGCCCCGGTGACCCAGACTTGGATGCACCTTCATCGCACGATGACAGCAGCGAGGAGGACCAGTACGAAGGCAGCGACAATAATTCGGACCCAGACGATTCGGCCCAAGACGTGTCGTCGGAGATTTCAGAAAGCGAGAAGGCCGTCCCAACAGTACGACAAAGCCTGGCTATTGATGGGACGCTCGAACACCCAGTACGCGTTGAGTCTCTAGCCGAGGCTCGAGGGGTTCTCGACGGGCTCGAGAACGCAAGATTCGCGCTGTCAAACAACAACAGTGTGACCAAACGTCTCTGGTGTACTTCTCATGTTGATTGCACAGCTGAGACACGTATCACTCTTGATCCCGACGGCAAGTTTCGGTTGTCGCGTAGTGGTATGCATACGGCAGTTGTGGCACCGATTGAGACGCAGCGGACGGGGATTCACAAGCCATTACTTCCGGAGATCGACGGTTTGCTGCTGGGAGGCCAAGGTCCCAAAACGTGTTCGATCACCCTACGCATGAAGTACGATCACTCCGAAGAAGTTCTCGCCTTGCTGCCATCAGCTTCTCAAGTCAAAAACAGAGCACACCGACTGCGAAGACGAGGGGATATCGACATTACCACCTACGCTGATGTCATGGTTTGGGCGACGCCAAGACTCTGCACAACCTCAGCAGCATTTTTTGGTCATATGCGCTACAATCGCGAGCGGGACGCTAGGCGCATCGCTCGCAAACCCTTTGAGTTTCAAAATGAGCTCATAGTGCTGTACTGCTTCACCGACACAATCGACTGTGGTGACACCTCGGTCGGAATCATCTTCACTTCGCGAAGGCTTTTTCGAATAGCTCCCCGAACAGTGGCAGGTCAAAATGGCGAGATGCTCGGGGTCACAGATGGAACATACAAGCTTCACTTCGGTGGTTGGACGCTCGTGTCTTTTGGTACATTTGGACTTCGTTACACCGCTTCGCACGCGTATCAACAGAAGTTTTACCCGATGGCATTCATGTTCGTCAGGACGGAGACTGCCTTTGCGTATACGAAGCTGTTTTCCGTATGCAAGCAACGGTGCCAAGAATGTTTCGGCGTGACACTGGACCTATAGTTTGGCTCATTGGACCACTCCACTTCAAGTGCGAACGCTTTCCAGACAGTCTGGTCGGAGATCAAGCTTCTCGACTGCTGGCCCCATCTCGACCGGAATGCTCGGAAGAAGAAAGGGTTGCTTGCAGAGTGCGACCGCTACAACGACATCATCAAGCCCCAGCTCGATTATTTGAGTCAATCGTGCTCGAAGCAGCAATTCGAGGCGCTTTCCGCACTCATTACTCAGAATTGGGACGACTTTGGTGAAGGCGAGAATGCGGCGTGGCTAGACACGGAATATCTTACAGAGCCGTGGCACCTGTGGTTCTATACGGCCAGCGACGTTCCAGGAATTATTCCGAACCAGAATCCGATTGAATCGCACCACCACAGCATCAAGACTACTGCAGTGAATCAGCTGCGGGCTTCAACAGGGCATGTACTTGCGTCGACTCTACCGAAAATCCTGGTCGAGTGCGCGATGGAAATCGGGTCGGAGTCTATCCAGCACTTTGCCGCTGGACCCGTTTCCGCAGAGGTTCTAGAAGCTGGTGTACTCCTCTGCAACGACGACAACCATTTCCCGACTCACAAACGCAAGTCGTGCAGAGCAATCCGCAACATTCAGACGTATTACTTCAACCAGAGATACTACATCGTTCGGGACGACAATGTGCATGGATTGAAGGTGAACGCGAGCCGAACAAAGACCTATGAGAGCTCGCTCAGGGGATCCCTCAAGGATGATGAAATTGTGGAGAATGTCCAGCTTCGATAACTCTCACTGCACAAGGTGACGGTGTTGGATCGACTTCCGTATGAGCACGACTGGAACTCTCCGTTGTGGTCCCTGGAGGAGATCAACACCATCAGAAAAAAGTTCAAGTGTGTCTGCAAAGATTTCTACCAGACGGGGTGGCTGTGTGCTCATGTACTAGCATGCCTTCACCTCGTTGACAATCTTGATTTGGCGGTGATGCTTCGAGGGCTCCCAGCTCGCAGGCCTCCCGGTAGACCGCGCAAGAAAAGCAAATGCCTCCAGTGAGATGGTGTGAGAACATCCCAATACTCCGTCGATGCCCTGGTGAAACGACTTGTGGACAAGCCAGCAAGTGTTATCAACTGGAGCGTGCTAATCGAAAAGACAGTTGCCGAGGCGGATGGCGAGGAGTCCCAGCGGACCTATGTTGGCAAGATTAAACCCCCCTTCACTCGTGGAGGAAAGCGGTTCTGGGAGATCGCGTACGAGGATCAAGATGAGGTGACTGTCCTGGAAGTTGAAGCTCTTGCAAGGACGATCAATTTCTCCTTCCAAATGGAGCACAACATTGTTCCCAACTAATGCATATCTTCGACACAACAGCGGTAGCGTGAAGCTTCAGCAGAATAGCAAGTGGACGACATAAGGCTAGACGTAGTGTGCTACGAACTAGGGACCGAGTAACCCGGACATTTGTTTTACATTTTTCAATAAATGCAATATAACCCTTGTGAATGCATTAACACCATCGAAATGAAAACTAGCCAATAATAAATAAAAAACAGACTTTTTGACCATAAATGGAAAGTCGCCGCTGAAAGAATGAAAAAAAACTGCGCCCCACAACGAAAAGTGAATAAGGGGTTAACTTTCGATGTTTCAATTTCGTGGTGTGTTCATTTTCAGAGTGAAAATTCGAGCGAATTATTCCAGTAACCTTTCGCGATCCATGTTGAAATTCTTCCTCCAGATGTCATCTGCACCCAGCCGCAATGGCCAATGTTGCTGCCGCGACTGACATGCACGGCTGTTCAAAACTGTTAGTCTGCACGCGTAGGTAGATAACCTCATGCACGTTGAGCGCAATAAGGAAACATATAAAATGAACGATAACTAGCTCAAAATAATGTAGTTGAGACCGATATCGTACCATCACACATGCATGTAGGGTATCAAAGCAGAGCTGTGACGCCCGAGATCGACCCAACAGAACTGTAATTGAGTGGGCTAATGTATTTGCTTAGTCGAACATCTTTTCATGAGCAACGCAATGAATGAATTAACGCAGACTAGAAAGGAGCAAATAATCGGCGCCTTTAACGTGCAGGAAGGACTTGGAGCTGTCTGATTTCTTTAAAGCGAAGTAGCAGGCGAGCTCGAACAGGCCAAAAGAGAGCCATTGTTGCTACCAAGAAGCACCGACACGGACTCCGGCTCGTACACCCCAGCTCATCGTCCAGCTCGTCATCCGCGCATAGCCTTCAATGTAATTTAGAGAAGTTGCTGCTCGACAGTACCCGGTCCTCAGCATGCAAAGCTGCTTGCTACTTGGCGTAGCGTTGGCGCTTCCTTGAGGCTCTGCTTGTTGATGCTTGGTCTCTCTGTTGTGCGCTGGTCAAGCGATCCCGAAGGGCCGCAGACTTCTTACCAACGGCCGCAGAGCGACCCTTCTTACGACAGCATAAGGTTTGAAAGGCAAATAGGCTTAATAAAGGGTCCTACGAGGGTCTAAATAAGGGTAAAATGTCACGTTTAAGTCGATTTCTGATGTCCTCCATACTAACGGTCGAATTTGCTGTTTCATAACTTCGACCCCCTGGTTTTATGGCATCTAAAGATAGTGACGTCGGTTCAGCTCAGAAAAATCTGTGCCGATACCACCTTCCGATAAGCACCCAAATGTTGTTTAACCGAGGTATTTTTTTTCAGTTTTTGGTCCCTGTGCGAGCGATTCTAAATTGTGACCCTAACCCATTCGCAGAATTAATGTAAAAAGTAAAGCGAAGTGTATATAAGAGACGTAAAAACTCCATAAAACGGAGTCTCATGATTATAGGGGGACTTCGTCCCCAAAACCCTAGTAGAAATTGGCACCTCAACACTTTGCGTAAGGTTGAGCGCAAGAAACGCACTCCTGTGTCTAAATGGCATGTGCGCACCGTTTTATTGGTCAATGAGAGCACTGCCAGCGGTTTACAACTCTTCATACGCTAATATTCGCTTCAGAATTGCGCGGAGAGGTAAGGTTCATGTCATTTTTGAGCCAACTTCTATATGAGTGACCCAAGTGTGTTGCTCTCTCAATTTTTTTCGTATACGCTTGAAACTTTCTCAGAGTGGCTATCTAGGTTTATACAAACAGGACAACGAACTACAGGTTCTAATCCATCTTTAAACATGCAAAATCGACAATTCGTCTATCATTTTCGCGTATTTTTCGCCCTGCCAAAGCAGATTTTGAAGTGTGATTTATACCGCAAACGAACCGCTATGACCTGCTTGTTGCTGGTAGAAAAGCTCAAATCCGCTGCGTTTGCTTTGATAAAATTATTGCCAAAAAAGACTTTTCGCCTACCTTTTCCGCGCGCACCCCTTTTACCTGTCATAAGTCATAAGTGCAAAACGTTTTTGGCCTATCACAAGGCGTGAAAGATTGTACTTATATATATACTAATATATTGTTCGTAGTGTAGGAGTCCTTGCTGTACAACTTCTTCTTGCCAATCCCAGAAATGATTCAGTACCTAGGTGCTGTCAAAATGAGACCGCGTCAGAGTCGCAGACTGGCGGACAAGCTCTGTGTCCTGACGTGGCAACACCACCTACGGGCATATAATAAGATGGCTGATACATTAGCGAACATGGCAATGGGCTCTCGCAGGAGCATCCAGATGACCATAACCCGAGATGCGATTTCCGGCGACAAATGAAAACATGCGTCCCAGCACGCGGCCAGTGACATCGGGCACTGGTTGGAACGCACCACTGATGAGAGTTCTTCGGAGCTCGTGGCCGTCACACTTTAGGGGTGTCGGGATCGCCACTAAGGCGCCTAGCTACAGGACGAGCGGAATGAGACGATCGTCAACAAGGTCGTAGGATGTCATTAGCCAAAGAAGTAGAGCTTACTCTGACTGAAATAACACCTCAATAGTAGCCCCTCGTAGTCACTATCAAGAAGTTTGTATGTAAATAGCCCGAACCCTATAAAATGATTTTCGGCCGCCTTGAGACGTTGTTTCGGTCCGAGGAAGTCGAATCTCTGTATTAGGACTTTGTGTGGGCTCGTCATCGGAAGCAACTTCTTTTTTGCTGAAACAACATTTGGCAGTTATTCTGTGTTAGTTGGCCAATGATCGACCACCTTGGGTAAAAAAAGGTAGTCGACAAATTTTCTGGAGAATTTTAGATTTGATTTTTTTTAGGACTATGGTGAATTTTGAAGTGGGATCATACCAAAAAGTACGAGTTCATACCAGAATCTACGAGTTAATACCGAACAGTACGAGTTCATACGAAAATGTACGAGTTCATACTAAAACATACGACTTCATACCAAAAGGTACGATGTGTGTGTACAATAAAGTACGACCTGGTCGGCTTCTCGCCACGTGTTCACTTTCAAATCGGCGCGATGGAAGCACACTTTGCGGTGCTTGGCCATGTTCGACTTCGCCACGAGCTTAGGGCACGTAGGGCACTTGCCCTTCGGTGGACCGTCACCGCCCTCCATTTCCGACCAATTTCTACGACTGAGAGCCGGAACTCCCATTCAGGATTCCTCGATGCTTAGTGGTCAATATTATTTTTGGCTGATCTCGCATATGATTGGCTGAAATAAAATGTTATTTGGCGTTATTTCAGGGAAAGAAGTTAGCAGACAACAACGTACCTCAATGCGAAACGAAACGAAAATGAGACCGCGTCAAACGAAAAAATGCTTAGGCGAAATCCGGATTGGGGTCCGTAATTTAAAATTAATTCGGTTTGGAGTCCGTTCAAATCAGAAGGCGTAATCTTTGGCGTAAAATTGAAAACATACCATGTTTTTGTAAAATTTCCAAGTGGAGTATGAGTACTTATGATTAAGAAATGTACCTTACCCTATGACCTTGCCGTACACAGTACTTTCCGGAACTTGTGCCCCGTATGTACCCTATGACTAAAACGTAACGTGTAGCCTAACCCCAACAAGATTTTGTTAAGGATAAAACAAGGACCAAATTTGAGGCCACCCGCTTGACATCATTTTGACATGTAAGAAGCTATGCCAGGTATGAATAGAAAGGTTTGTATTCGGTCTACATGAGGGTGGGATCTGTATGCGCTAGAGTTGTCTAGCCTTCGCGCAGCAGCTCGACCAAAAAGGTCACTCGGAGCGTATCGCTTTTTCGAGTGTATCCTTAAGTTAAGGACAAAAGTAGCTTGGCCAATACTAGAAACATGTAGCGGATCCACTTTGACTCACTACTATGGCTTACACATGTGCGCACGTGTATGAGGAAGCGCAAGTTTATTTTACTTACGTTAAGTATACTCGAGATCCACGAGTATACTTTAAACAATGGACGCCTACCAAAAATAGAGAAATCACCCAACATAGATGCAGCAGATATGACAGGACATAATGAGGCATAAATCTTGTGAGACGTAAAAATCGTCTCGATAAACAGCCCTACCCCTAGGTTTATTTCGTGTAGCCATCTTAGATTTTAATGCTGAAATTTGTATAGAATATGTAGACCATCACTCTGCACATGTCGCCGCCATATATCACCGACATAACTCATTCCGTGCACCACCAGCTTCAACCTCTCACTTTCGAAAAATCGTCGCTGGGTGACAAGTGCCCGGCAGCGCTGCGTGCAGCAACAACGAAGACAGGTAAGCGTCAACTTAATACGTTGGCTAGCGAGCAAGTCGAGTCTATTCTAACTTCTCTAACGTGCAGAGCAACCATGGTTCATCACGTCCACTCCGCCGTGCACTGGAGCTCGTGCTGCATTGTGGACACGTCGAGCGACGACGAGAATGTGCCGCCCAACTTGTAGCGCGGCAGCGTCCAAGCGCCGGCGGAGAGCGCCAAGTCTTCTTCGCCCGTGTAACGCGGTTACACGAGAGTTACCCGAAGGGTTACGAAGTGGGTACACACCGGCTAACCTAAATCAGTAGGAGAATCAGTACATGGCTTCAGAGCCACTGATTATGCATATGACTAGGGTTCACTATGCTAGATAGTGAACCGGATACATTTACACCGTAGGCGGCTTGGCCGCGCTAAAGGGAAATACATTCAGTTTTGAGATTCACACAGTTGAGAGTTAAGGGTTGACTCTTGGAGTCCGTAAGGTGTACGGACTCGTACGTTCTGGTATTAGAACGGGCTATCTTAAGCTGAGACTCTGTGAGTCTGTCAAGCTTCCTCTGACGCAAAGCTACGGCAGACCCGCTGCACTTGGTAGCACTTGTAGTCAATCCGACACCTGAGTCTGTATAGACTGACCCTCTGTGGAGAATGGAGCAGTTCGCTCACTTGCCCCCGAACCAGCAGGATGCGCTTAAAAAGCTTATGTCCTTGCTGGGCCCGGAGGGCGTGAAGCAACTTGCGCAGCAAGGCCCCGACGCGGTGAACGCGCGTCTCAGGCGTTTTCAAGCTACGAGAATGCTCTGCTAGAGCACCTTCAGCAGAGGATGGCGACGTCCGCGGCGCCCGCTTCGTCATCCGACGCGGGAACAAGACCCAAGCCGCTCATGTTGAGCGTGAAGACCTTCGGAGGCAAGGAGGGTGAATGAAAGCTTGATGCTTTGGACCCATGAGGTTGAGATGGCTATGAGCTCAGCTCTACTCCGGACGGAGTCGCAGCGCGTGGCACTAGCTATCTCGAAGCTCGGTGGGCGAGCGAGAGAGTGGGCACTAACGTCCGGGACGTCGGTCGAGGTGGCCTTCCCGACGTGGGACCAGCTGACACAGCAATTGTCCCGAGTGTTTGCTCCGCCTAACGAGGCGTATCGCGTGCGCTCACGCTTCCTGGCGACCAGGCAGAGCAAGAAGGAGTTGATGGACTATGTCCAAGAGTTGAGAACTCTCATTGCTGGTATGTCCGCGGACCCCCTGCCGGAGGCAGTCACCGTTACGGTGTTCATGGAGGGCCTCAGCACTGGCGTTGCCAGGACGGAGGTGTTCCGAACCCACCCGAGCTCTTTTGAAGAGGCTGTGAGCGTCGCATTGAATGCGGAGCACAACTTTAAGTCGTCGAGACTTGGGTGAAATGCGTCTTACGCTAGCGGGTCGAGTGGTCCGGAACCCATGGACCTCAGCTATGCTGAAGACGAAGAAGCCGAGCTTCGTGGTGCTGAGCAGCGTCGCGGTATCCGCAGATGCTTCATCTGTGGTGACACCCGTCACCTTCGTGCTGGGTGTCCGCTGCGCCATCAGCGCCAGGCTTCGTCAAGCCACTCTTCGAGTTCGAGCCAGGGCTCTGGTTTGTCTCGGGGAAACGAGAAGTCCCAGTAGGCGCGGGGCGGCCTACTGGGGAAGAACTAAGTTCTATTGAGCCTCGGCGAGGTGGAGGTCGACAGGACTTAGCCCCGAAGAGAGCCGTACTCTCTAACACGGAACGTCTATGCAAGCCGGGCTTGCTAGTTGTCCAAGCTTGGGTGAAGGGCTTCACGAAGCCATGGACGATTTTGATCGATTCGGGAGCGTCGGGTAACTACGCCCGACGTTCTACGATGGACGGAAGTCAGTTTATGCTGGGGCGCTGGTAGCGCGCGGGATTGACGACGGGCACTCGTGTCACGGTGACTAAGGTCCCTGTGGACCTGGGCGTGAAGGTTTTGGATTTCGACAGCGTGGAACGCGGTCTGGTCGTAGACCTCGATTCGAGATATAATCTCATCCTTGGTATGGCGTGGCTGGAACGCCACGAGCCTTGGATCGATTGGAGGTCGAAGACCCTTGGTGCTACGCACTTCTCTCCTGGCGGAGCATTGGCGAGTCATGAACCCACCTCTGCTAGGAAGCAGAAGCGCTTCTGGCGCGAGCACTGGACCGAGTCGGTCAATGTGCTGGACATCGGAGTCTCCAAGTTGGTGGACACTGAGTGTGTCGAGAACGAGCGTTCCGAGCGTGGCTCGCGGACGGCAGGTGGAGCGGCACGAATTCGGCTGAGCGGGTGTGCATCTGAGGGCGACGCCCTGCTGCGTGCCAGCGACGGCGCGGTCGGCGGGATGCCGAAGAACAAGGGGCTTTGCCCGAATGAAGATTGTGGAGTGGCACGTAATCCACTGAGTGGAGGTTGCGGATCGTGCAGCTCTTCGCTGAGTATCGGTAAAGACACTGGAGCTCCCCTGGAGCTGAACGAGGTGGTGATACCTGGCGTCAAGACGCACGCGAAATCACGGAGCTCTTCAGGGCGGACGGTGTCCATGAAGAGGAGGCAGCGCCGCAAAGCGCTGGCCGCGAGACGCAAGGCGTCTGCGATCTCACGAGTCGAGAAGGGCGTGTCGAGCGGTGAGGCTCCACGCGAGAGCGAACAGCTCTATACACTCGTGAATGGAGTGACGGGCGACGTCGACGGAGGTATCAACCTCGACGACTTGCCCTCACTGTCTGCTCTCCTGGAGCTGGACGAGATGTCCTCGACCGAGTTCGGCGAAGCCTTGAAGGCTGGAGACTTGGCTGAGGTAGTGGTCATACGACTCGAAGAAGAGTTGAACTCGTCCTCGCTTCTGGATGAAGCTGTTCTGGAAGACACAAAGAAGGCGCTGAATGCGCGGAGCGGATCGGCGATCCTGAAGAACCCGTCGGATCCCCTGTATCAAGTGGTAAAGGATTACCAGGACGTGGTCTCGAAGGAGCCGCCCTCGGGGCTACCTCCGGATCGAGCTGTTCGACACGAAATCGATCTCGTTCCGGGAACGAAGTACT